ATGCAATCAAGGCTCCAGAATAGTTAACATGAACATTCTGGATTTTTTCAGATTGGAGACGCAACCAGCTCACAGTTCCCTCTCCCTGCAGTCCACTTGCCACATACTACTCCTATTCCTTCCTCACAGTCATCACCAGCAGGCTCCAGGCACTGCTCCTCACTCCACTACATCTCTCCATATCACCTGCAGAGAGGCAAACCTGCCCAGAAAGCCATTGAGAGGCTGGTCCCCAGAAATCCCGCATGGCAGTGGATTCCCAGGCACAGGGTGCATGGGAGGCACAAAGACAATGGCTAATAAAATGAGGCTCCACTGGTAGCACGGAGAGGGTGTAACCTGGCCTAGAGTTATTCTGGAGTATCACTTGAGAAGCAGAGATAGTGTCTACAAGAAAGACCAGATAAAGTCCTGCAGGAGTAAAGTTCCTTTTCTGAGGAAAAGCCAATGGGCAACGGCTTACCCAGTGATGCCATTCATGGTCCAACAAGCATGCCTTATCACATAACAGAGGAATATCTCGAAGCATCTGCTCCATCATCAGTCACTGCTCTGTGACCTTGCCAGTGCCTGCAGCCACAGGGGCCCAGTGCCACAGGCCCTGCACACACCCAGCACTGAACCTGTGACCTGCAGCTTCTGCAGACCATCACAAATCCCCCAAGACATACAGCTCCCCACAGCCTTGCAGGTTGTTTTTAGTTAGACAAATTCAAATGGCTGCCACAAAAGCTTAATCTCTTTCCAGCCACACTCATGCTGAGTGTCAATAGGAAAAAGTCCCATGAATACGCTTGATAATTACAGAGCCATGGCTGTAGCAAAGAACAAAGTATAATGCAGGCTTGAATACTCAGGAAATTGACTGCTGATATGTTTCCATTCATTGTTTTGTTCTCTGTTCTCAGTGTTATATTAAAATCTCCTACTAAGAATGAGCTTTCTTGTTTAATGGAACTTGTCAGTTAGAGGAAATCTGCTTGAGCTGTTTGATCTATTCTTTAAAATAATATTAATTGCAAATTTAGCACATGACCCTATCTCAGTTAGTTCAAAAACTAAGGCTGATCTTTTCCAAAATGTATTTGTTTCCCAGAAAAATCATGGGCCATCACTGTCCCACTTGAACGCATTCACTGTCCCTCTGCCTCGCTATTCAGTCCTGGCTATTCATTAGATCTGTTGATCAATTGTACCAATCACCTGACATTGTTTTCCTGACTCTGTTAGTGAAAAGTGATAGTAGTGAATAGCAAACAGTAAACATGGTGCAAATCTCTGGTCATGAGAAAATCCATGAAACCTTGCAGTCTGTGAGCATCTTTACAAAACCCTGACAACCATATCTACATTCAACTGTGACCTCACATCTATAGGAAATCACAGTCTTCTGCTTGCCTCTCCATTAATGGAACTGTCTTGTCTATTTTTAATTCCATGTAGCTCATAATTAAGAACTGAATTTGCATGTTTGCTATTCATCCTGATTCCCAGCATGTGCAGTCACAATAACAAATCTTAATTTCAGGCTCAGAAGCTGATATACAGTTGAATCTGAATTTCTCAAATCCAACAGTTCAATGGTATTTAAATCTGAAGGTTTCACTTGGTTCCTTGCAGACATAAAAGATCAGTTTAGAAGAATCAGATGCAGTGGCCAGTTCAGACTATGTAAATTTGTAGGAATATTTAAATTTGCTGGTTCTGAACCTTCAATGAAAATCTGCAGAAAATGGTTGCACGGGGTTGTTCATAGAAACAATATTTCTTTTGTGAGTGTCTTCCTGCATCCAGTTATATTGGAATGATGGAAGAAAGAGGAAATGGCTGGTTTAAGGGCTCATATAATTAGACATAACACATTCTATCATCATCAGTACTCCATCCTTTAATTTAGGCAATCTCAAAAGACTTTTGGAAGTGCTCAGAAACCACTGCCCATGCCACCATGACCACAAGTGCTGTCACTTTTAGGAATTTGACGTTACAAACAGAGAAGTGGTGCCGTGAGCCTGTTCCCTGGAGGCAGCAGCTGACTCCCTTTCCCCTCCATCACAACACCTTTGGCAGGTGAATCCCCTCCCTTGTTTGGTGTCAGCAGGTTTGGTTATCCCTGTTCTCATTCACCTGGCCTTGCTAGGAACGCTGCCCTGGTGCAGTGCAGCTCCACAGGGCGAACTGGGGCAGCAAGGCAGCCCTGGAGAGGCCCCTCACTGAGGGATGTGCCTCAGCCATCCTCAGTGGAGCCTGAGCTCCCTGCCTGCGGCTCTTTCAGGACACGCACCATCCTCCCTCCTCTGCTCCATCCTCCCTGCTCCTGACTAATCCAGGCAGCTCAAGGCGCGGGGAATTCCTCTCAAATAAATCCATCCTCCCCCGCCCTGATCTTTTATTAAAATAAGGGCAGAATTGTTCAAATCAACTGAAGGGAAGGAATCCGAAATAGGAGGTGACCTCCTTCCAACCCTCAGTGCTGGGGGCTGAGGTGTGCCCCCCTCCTCAAGCTCCCTGGGTTATTCCCGCACCTTTGTCTCATTCCCTCCTGGAGCAAGGCCCTCCCACGGGCTCGTGTTTTCCAGGCCCATGAAGGGCTCTCTGTTCCCCGCATGAGTCAGCCCCGGGCGGGCTGGGCAGTGACATCAGCCCCTCGCGGCCCTCCTCGGGCTGCCCTTGGCTCCGCTGCCCGCGGGGTTTGTGAGGAGCACAGGCCCGGGCCTGTCGGTGGGAGCACGGCCCTGCATAAAGCCGTCTGTTGTGGGGGATGCCACCCGCGAGCCCCCGCAGGAGCAGCTGCAGAAGCCCTGTTTTTCACGCCTGACAGCAGGCAAACCCTCTCCTAGAATCTCCGGCGCAGTGCTAAAGCCCTGCCGGCTGTTGCTACCTGTGCCAGCCACCCTGGGACACGGCACATGCTGCAAACACCTTTTTCTTTGACGGCGCTGGCACTTCATCTGAGCCAGGATAAAGAGGGCGCGGCCGGTTTTCAAGTCTGCTTTGAGACTACAATAAGAGCTCTTTATGGGTTTAAAATTACCATTCTGCAATACTGGCAAACCATTACCTCTTCCAGGAAAGCTGCTTTGTAGTACTGCAGGAAAGTTATCCCTCTGGTGTTGTAAGCTGCACCAACAGCATTGCAGTCCTGTATTCCTGACCGGAGGCTACTTCAGCAAGGGATTGAATGACTTCATGACCTTGATGGATGCACAGAGTCAGTTCAACAGCACTCAGCTGTGCAAATGAAATGCTGGCACCTCACTGATAAGAGGGGAGAGTGCCCATGCCAGGGCAGACGGGGGGGCATGTAAGGATGCAGCAGATAATGGTGGCTCGGGGTAATGGCTCCAGCTCTGAGCTTACCGTTTTGGGGAGATAGGCACCCCACCTACTTCAAGACATTCCCTTTCTCTCTGTGGCAGGGGCAGCCAGCCTGGTTTGCCAACGCTTCACTATAAACAAAATGTCTGATAGTGTTTTTCTAACCATTTTCTTCTAGTGCTGCCAGAGGTCAGAGCCATCCCAGAGCAGTTTGCTCACCAATGGACTTCAGCTACACCAGCACAGAGTCTCCATGTCTACTGGGGAGGGGTGACAGGTGAGCTCCCCCAGTCTAACATTGCTTTGAAACATCAATAAAGCAATTGTACACAGAGAGATAAAAACCAAACTTCTCAGTTTCAGTGCAAGGAGAGTTCTGCTTTTGCTCTCAGCTCACTAGTTTGGTGCTGTTTGAGAGTTAGACCTACAATTCTGCTTTGGATTTAGCTTTCATTTACGTCCATGAAATGTCATGTATGCTTATGAAATTTCAGCGCAAGAGATGGCAAACACCTCATGCCTGATATTGCTTTCTAAGGCATTTTTCATCCATGAGATTTCTATATCCTGAACTCAAATCCTTCCCCCAGTTTGTCCTCCAACCCTGGCTACACACTCTGTAGCCAAATAACATCCCCTTTTCTTTTTCCTTCTGGAGACACAGCAGCTGTTCTGTTTTGCTGCTGAATGAATCAATGTTTTACCAGCTACGGTTTCCTGATTTGCAGATTTTGGTGGCAGCGCTGTCACAGAGTTCCCACCATCAGTCCCTGCCAGTGTCCCCCCTGCCAAATAACACTCAGGCCTTTCAGCTGGGCCAGAGCAGTTGTTCCCGGGGGCAGTGCTGATCAGGCACTGATCTAGTTGAAGCAAAAAATCAAAGCAAACCAAAACACATACAAAAAAAGAAAAAAACAAAATCCTTTCTATTTTACAGGGTTTTTTGTTCACAGTGTTAACCACCAGCAGTTCCTGATGTGGCTTGCTGCAGAGTCACATGGAGACTTGTTTAGATACAACTGGGAGGGGGCTGAGCTGGAATGAAACAGTGTGGAAAAAAGCTGAGATGGGAACATCTCAAGACAGAATTACTACGAAAGCTTCCTTGTCCTTAAACCATGGCCAAGGTTTCTTATCTTGGACCGCAATCAGGAGATCACCATAATTTTCCAGTAAACAGCCAATTCATTTCACAATTTATACATCATTACACATCCCCCATGTAACAGAGAATCAGCTCTACAGACTCCTTTCAGGCCTTAAAAGGATTCTTAGGCTTCAGTTTTCATTTTTAAATGAATACAAGCATTCAACTGAGCTCTAAGCTATTAAAGCAAGACATCACTGATAAACTAAATAATTTTACAATAGTTCACTTAATTGCTCGATTCACCTATGCCTTTAGACCAATGTTTTGGGATTCCAAATAATACAAATAATAACAAAAATAACAGCAGCACATTCCATCTTACTGAACGAAACAGTGATATACCAAAACACAGCACGTGATACGTTATCACTGGCTGTGCAGGAGTGTGGGTGGGAAGCAGGAGGCTGCAAGAAGAGACAGATAATGCAGCTCCTACACGCGACTTTTCCTTCTGTACTATTTGCCTTTTGCTGAAGAAGCGCAGCAAATACATTAACACATGCATGAAAAATGAGCTGAGGTAATTCCATCTATGAGCATGTGATCGGTCCTGCTGCCACAAATGTTTTCCCTCTAGGTCCATATCTGAATCTCACACAGACTGACTCACTCTGCGGCCGCACACGTCACTACTACCCGGCAGCGTCAGGCTGTCATTTGTTTCCTTTTGGAACGGGATGTTCTATAATAGCTCCAACTCCCACTCCATAGTTTATGAAATTGCAGTTCTTTCACATACTCCTTTGTTCCTGAGCAGCCAGGAGTTTTCAGTTCGTTTCTAAGGTGCTAAAAGAGGATCAGAGTGGCCTGAGCTCAGGGATGCCTCACTCGAAGCTCTAACAGGATGTGTCTTTTTATAGAATGAAGGTGTGATGGTTCTCAGTGCACTGTAGAGTTTGTTCTTCAGGAAGACAAAGGAAGCACAGTGCAGAACTGTTGCTTCTGGTTTCTCTCACAGCCAGGGAGACACTGTCATGGACATGGAAGCTGAAGCTCTGGATATCCTGATGGAGCCATGAAAGCAGAACCAGCTCTGCTTCAGAGTTTCTTGCTATGACGCTCAAATATGCAACACTTGTTTTTCAGCACTGATTAGTTTGACCCTCAGCTCTACAAATCCTAGTCTACATCTGTGTCTTATTCTGGAACAGGTAAGTGTTTCTGAAGTGAATCCCTGACTGACTGTGCTTCACTTCATACCACACAGTTTCAGAGCTCAGCCTATAGGACTAAACTCATATTAGTGTGAGGTTAAAACCCCCAAGCGTCAATAGCATAGACATGGAGTTGTCAGCACTACCTGGTTTGTTGTGCTGGCTTGGTGCTCTTGTCATACCAAACTACCACTTCTTCCTACCTGTCTTTCAGACCCCAAAGTCCTGGAGCTGTTGTATCTCAGCACACAATTGCAAAAGGAGGAATGTGAAGTGCTTCCAGCAGTGCAGCAGAAGAGAGGAAGCTGCAGTCCCCCAAGGTTCCCTGCCCACTTAAAGACCATGTTCATCAGGATACACCTGCTGAGTTTCCTGCTGTGAACATCTGACAGGCAGCTGATACCAAAGGACAGAACCCAGGGAGCAGAGAGCCAAAGAATGAAAGGTTGCAAAAGATGTTGGCATTTTCCTGCTTACTTTTGGGATGCTGCTATGATTCAGTGCAGGTTAAAATGGCTTTGTCCTCACACTGGGTGCACAGCAAAATGGATGCATTGCTATGTGGAATCCAGTGTCCCCTGCTCCAAGTTCTGGCCCCCCATTTAACAGAGCTTTAACCAAATGGGGGGCTGACATTACTTCCTAAGGGTGCAGACATTCCTAACAAGGAGGTCAATGACAGCTTCAAGTGTAGCAAAAAGAGTATCCCTATCGTTCTTCAGAAAACCTGTCACTGGGAATACAATAAGAATCTTAAAGATGACTTGCAGATGAATTGTAAAAGCAAAATTTATAATCTGCAAACTGCACATAACAATTCTTTGAGACATAAAAAGTTCCTGAGGCTCCTGCTTGCATGAGGGTGCCATAAGCATCCCTGCAGATATTTATTCTGACCTCATGGACTTTTGTCTGAGGTTCACTCATTGGGTTTAAATAAATAAGCATTAACAAACCCAAGGCTCCAGATCTTCCACTGTCCTGCACTGAGCCAAGATCTTAAGCAAAGAGGCTTAAGTCACATTTATATTTCCTTTGACCTAGAGACAGAGCACAGCTCAGGATATCCCAGTTATGGAGCAAAAAGACCTCTATGGCTGTACAACCTCACGTTCAGCTGCCTGAGAAACCTTTAGAAACTGCTGTAAAGGCAGATCACCACAGGCTGGCATTCCCTGCTCACTGCAGACACTTTCACATGCAGCACTGGCTGGGCAGAGCAGCCAGAGCCCCAGCCCTGACTTACTTGCATGACAGCCTCAGGAATCCTCCTGGTGCTGCCTCACCAGCCTTGGGTAATGCTGCACTGCAGGAATACAGTGCCCAGGCTCTCAGAGCCAGCCCTTGAGCTTGGTAGCTGCCAGGACAAAAGACAATCTCTAAATGTAAGTCAATATAATCTCACAGACATCACCTATAACTTTACCTGGGCTTACCTGGGTCGCTGTGGAGGGCAGGGCACTGTTTCCCTTGACATTCACAACGAACGCGTGCACCAGAGAATACGAGGCTCCTCGTACACAGCGTATTGTTCTGGATTTCGTATTTCTTCGGGGTTGTCTTGGCAACGAAGAGGGTTTGCCGCTAGAGGTGTGTGAAACACTGGGTAACAAAAAACATCACAACTCCCACTTGTTTCATTCCATCACCCTTTTATACCTGACTCTTTTTCAACCTGGACCGCTCTCAGTGTGCTGTGTGTCAGGAGGGGCAGCACAAATCAGCGCAGACTCCTCTGCCTCCCCCTTTCCCCCAAGGAATTTTGAAAACAACAAAAAATTACATTTTTTCATTGAAAAATTATGTCTATCCAGATAACCTTACATGTCTATCCAGACAACCTGTTCCCATTCTCCCTTCAACTACCTTCTTAGGGAGTAGTTCCCTGGCAGGCAATGGAGCTGACAGCTTCAGAATGGGTGAATCTATTTAAGCAAAATCAGGATTTTTTTTTTTCCATTTGTTTGCTTGTTTTAATTAATGACACTTTTAGTGATGTCAGTGAAGTCAATGGGGTGACTGTGGACTGATTTCAATATGAGCAGGTCTGCCAATTTGCCCTAAACAAAAGGAGCCTTTCCTTTTTACAGAGAAGAGATGCTGGACAGAGAATCCTACACCTTGTCTAGCAAACGAATGCAAATGCCTCACCTGCCCTTCTGACTCAGCTCCTTCCATGGACAACAGACCTTTATTTACTGTGGATGAGGTCCTGGAAGTATTCTGTTAATATTTTAGAGCATCTGTGGATGCACACAGATGCATCAACAACACCTTGCTCATTCATGTAATTTGACTTTATTTTTACTTACTGAAGGCATTAAAAAATTAACCCAAGCAGCTGTTCAGATGCCTCTATTTTTTTTATGCAGCAAAGGGAAAAAAAAGTGTGAACAGCTGTGTCAGTGGAACACATCCAGGTGGCATCCCTAAGGCAAAGTTTCTACAAAACCTGTAAGATAATGTTTTTACTATCTTAGTTATTTTATTTCTTTTTTATTACATTGCTCTTGTTGATTCTTAAAGAGGTATTAGCTACTTATTTCTTCACCCTCGTCCCTCTGTGTTTGAGCTGTGCTGTAGCTCAACACAGATGTTGCAGTGATTCAGCCATCAAAGGGGAAAATCAGCCTTTCAGCAGAATCCTTCTGAATCTATTCTGGGGTCTTAAATAGGATGTATGTCTGGATAAGGAGCAATTTTACATATCTGGCCTTTCTATGGGGAGAAACTCAAGATATGGCACCAAAAATTGCCTTAGGGACACTCAAGAGCAGAGGGAATTTGTTTTCCAGGTTGTATAACTAAGTCAGCTGATGTAGTTTTGTTGCAGTTCCTTGACAAGGTAGCTGGGTCATCCTCAAGGAGAAGGAGAGGCTAAGACTCACACAAGAGTCTGAAAGAGCAGCTGTTTGGGACTCCAACATGTGTAGCATTGGGGATTTGGAAATCACTGGTCAAATTCTCAGCTGGGTGATGCTGAAATCTGTATTAGGTTCACTGACAAAGACACATGAAGAAACTCCCTTACTGAAGTTCTGAATTCCTCAGCTGGAATCCCAGAAGTCTCCCATTCTGCATGGAGTAAATTTCAGCTTTCTAAACTCTGGTGCCCTTTCCATGCATTTACTCTCATGTCTCAACCATGAGAGGCTTCCAGACACCAGGTCCAAGCTCTGCATTTCCTGGAACCACACTCCCAATGTGCCCTAGGCCATCACACCACAGTCCAAACCCTACACCCTGCCCAGTCATCCAGGGCTCATCTGTTTGGTGCCTTCCATAGAGAGTGTGATTCTGTTGCTATAAGGCAGCTTGCTGAATTATGGATGTGCTATCCATAAACTGATGGTTGGTATTTTCTGCCCTGACATCAGTCCTTGGATTATCAACTCTGCAGAACAAAGTGAAAACACTGAAATGTCTGAAAATTGCCAGCCACATCACAGGTGTTACAGGAAATTATATTCATAATAACGAATAATAATAGCAAGGACAACTGTAATGATTAAGCAATTTGTTGCTGTTACTATTCTTTCTCTTATTCCCACAATATTTGACAAATATGGGCTCTCCTCTCCAGAGAGCTCTTGAGACTGAAGAAATGTTTTCAGGAGACACAGAATACAAAGAAAAGTGTTGCTTTTCAGCTTATAGCATAATGATAGTAGATAGATAAATGCCTGAAATCTGTTTCTATACCACTAAGAGTTTTGTTTGTTTGTTTTTTAAATTAGCTTGAGAAACAAATTATGTAAAAGTATCTGTACTGTCCTGAGAAGGACTGTCTTCCAGAGGAAAGCTCAGCAGAATCATCCCTGAGTCTAAAAGAAAATTTCATTCTCCTCTAAATCATTCCCCTTTGGTACATTCTCTTCATATTTAGTAGGTGGATGCAATACCCTCTATATGTACTAAGCTTGTGTTATTACAGTTTGAGCACGATATATGTTTATTTGGAGTCTAACAAGATCATCAATCAGGAAATACCACTGCACTTCATATTATGTATTTATTTATGGTGTTAGGATGAAATTTACCTGGGTCCAGAGAACAAAATTAGGCTGTTACAGCCCTTGGTTTCATATAAGTTATTTTCCTCTCAATGCCTATGCCCTGTGGACACAAATTTATTTTTCCAATACTAGATGAAAAATCTCCCATTCTTTCATTGCCTCCAGGTAATGATGTCTATACCTTTCCTTCTGCTTCCAATTTTGTGTCCATTACTTGAATGCTTGAAAACATGAAATACAATACCATAAGTCACAGAGCAAGAAAATCTGCAGTGTTTAGGGAATATTTATCTTCCTTTTCAATTCTTTTGTAATTAAAGAAATTCTAGTCAATCATTTGATATCTTCAGTGACATTACCATACTCCTGATCTTAAACTTAGGTGCTGGTTAGCCATTAGAAAGAAGGAATATTTTGCAGACAGGTTATGGGATGCAGATTTGGAAAATCTCAGTTCTTCTCCGAAGTATGTCACACACTGAGCAATGAAAGATGACTTTAAATGGAATGTGCACTAATAAATGTAAATATGAAAGTGGAAAATTACATCACAATACGAGAGCTCAATGTAGTTAATCATAACAGTAATTATCTTAAATAATACTAAAAATATCAGTGAAAAACATTGAGAGACCTTTGTTAAGTGTTCAAATGTGTTCTGATTGCTGTATTTGACAACTCTGCAAGAACTTAAGTCTCAGAGACTTGGAATCTCCATGAGATTAGATAGTATTTGCATACAAAATGCAGGAGTGAAGTTAAATGAACAAATGGCAAGATTATCTCAAATAGAAGTGTTATAAAACCATTAAGCATGTAAAAGTTGATTCAGTTAATTGGCTAAGGCCCAGTAAAGATTTCACAACACTATCAGCAGGGTGTTGAAATACTTTAAAAAAAAACCCAAAAAAAAAACCCCAACAAACCAACAACCCAGCAACTAACAGCATGATTTCAGAGAAGCACTGCCATTTAAGAAATACTCTCTTCAGTATTTATTAGATAAGAAACTGTTTATCAGCATGTGCGTATGTTCTTCCTGGAATCAAGGTCCATGCAATTTATTTCACATGCAGCAATATTCTCTCAGTGCCTTGCAATTTTTCCATGCTCAAGTACCAGGAAAAGTGGAAGGAAGAGGCATATACCGTTACAAAGAAGTATATCACATTTATATTTACTTAGTGAATTGTGCTAAGATAGACATGCAATCACAGTGTAATGAGTTAACCAACAGGAGCTCCTGGCACTTCTTGTGCAGAGAGGAAAAAAAAATCTCATAGGAACATGGATGGATAGGAATGTGTCAAAGCAAGGACACAAGGAAAGGTAGCTCATACAGCTACTGATACAAAAAAAAAAAATTAACATTGTGAAATAAAATAAATAAAAATGAGGTGTAACCTATGTAAAGCAAATGAAAGATCTGCTCTGAACATGCAGTAAAACTCCAGTGTAGTTGTACTGATCCTGCAGCAACCTTTGAAACAGAACGGTTCTGAGTTTATGCTCCCTCGTGTATCTTTTCTTAGGAATAGTCTGGCCATCTAGGAAATATTTCACTCTACCTTCCAGCACACACAGAAGTTTGAAAACAATGCAAATGTAAATAGTTCCTGATGCCAAACACTCCAGTTGCCAAGAAGAACTGATGCATTTTGTACCAGGGTTATATTACGACCAAGATTAATTTTTGGATTGTCTCCGGCTATTCTTTAACAAAAACACCTCTTGATGAAACACAACTTGCAACTCACGGGTTTTGTGTATTCAGGGGAACTTTTCCCAACAGCTGATTTACAGTGTTCATGCAGAACAAGCTGTACTGTGACTTGCTTTTAATCCAGCTGCCAGATATTCCAGAGGTAACATCGTGGTTGAGGGGACCAGGTTTTTGAAGATGAGCCTACTCAGTGATAAAGATCTTATGGAAAACCAGAACAAAACCAATCAACGAATATACCCTAAATTCTCTTAACAAAAGGGAAATTTCTCACCATTATGATATAAGCAACTATTATCCAGTAAGAATTGAGGCCAGGTCTCAAGTGATATTTCACAGCACGAGTTACACGATCAGGTCGCTTGGTGCAACTGCACTGATTGACTGGTCACACATGTGCTTGCAATGTCTCTAACCAGGTCTGCTCTCTTGCTTTGTAAAAGAAGTCAACCTCCATTAAAAATAAACCACTTTATATATCTACATTTGTATATGGAGATTCATCAATGTTCAAAAACAACTACTATAAATTCAAAGATGAATTTTGGAATCAAATCAGGTATCATCAAAATACAAACCTAAGAAAAAGTAAAAGGGAATAAAAGAAAAGAAGGGAGAACTGACAAGTGGTAGAGAAACAGTGAGAAAATATTGGGAATGTGTTAGATTATTATCAGATGGATCTTTCTTTGCATCCAGTTTTAGTTACTTTTGGGAATAGCATGTGACCAAAATTTGCTTATGGCTGTCATATCAGAAGAATCATTTGAGCTTTGTAGATTCCTACCATGTCAAAATCTTTTGATTAGAAATTTCCCTGAGTAATGTGGCAGCCTCTCCTTCCAGCAGCCAAACAATATTTGTCTGAGTCAAATGCAGTTTACAAGGCTTCAGTCATTAAGCATGACTGAGCTGACCAATCACACCACATGAACACCAACTCATCACCCCTAAGTGATGTCAAAAAGTAACCACATCAAGTAAACCAAAACCTCAGAATCTGGAACAGTGGGACTGAAAAACTTCAGTTTCTACATAAGAAATTTGCAAAAAGAAGAAACACTACACTTGACAAGGAAATTCTTTTACTGAAAGTTGCATGCTCAGTTACATGATTACATTGCTGGTATCCCCCATTCTTCTTTTTCCTCCCCTGTTCCTCTCAAGGAAATACTTCCAGAACTTGCTGGTTCAGTTACCTGTTTCAGAGCTGTGGAATTCAGTAGTTCCAGGAACAAAGCTGCATTATTATAAATACTTCAGCTACAACATTTCCAAGGATATTAGACTGGCTATCATAATCTCCTGCTGACTCTGTTTTTAAATTCTCTAGTGTGGCAGTAGACTCTGAGGACAAAACACTAATTTTTTTAAAATTTAATTAAAAGCAAAAGAAGAAATTCAGGATAAAAATTTCAAAGCCTGGAAAGGTGAGTCAGAAAACAGCAAGATGAGAAAGGATGAAAACCAACACCACACTGATGACTCTGGAAAATTCCATGTCAAAGTACATCATGGTACATCACAAAGTACACATTTTGTTTTGGTACAACAAGATGATAAACAGTACACTTGGACTTCAGAGGCTTTTTTTAAAAAGTGTTTTTAACCTTTCTTACAACCTTGTACTTGAATAGCAGCCCATTCCTGAATTTACAGTCATGAATATTCTCCACACTCACACGTAAAGTTACATTGGCTTCCAGCAGATTATGTTTTGGAGTACAGACATCAGCCCTGAACATTATCTTCTGGCCTTCAAGCTTGTCACATAATGTTTAGTATTTAGATAATAGCTACTATCTAGAAATGAGCTGTCTTGACGTGACCAAGGTATTTCCCCACTGCAGAAGTTCATGCCATGAATCAGCTGCAGCATGAGAGATGCTCTGTCACTCTCTGGTACTCAGTGCTGCTTTACAGAATGACACAATATCAAAGATAATAGCCAGCCTCTGGAGCAAACAAATCACAGACTAATGAATACAGAACATTAAAGCCCAAAGTAATTTTCCCTGTCCCCCCTAGAGAACTATAACCAACACTATAGAAAAGTCTCAATGAAATCTTGCTGAGTTCTGTGTGGAGCCCTGTTGAAAGCCAAGACTGATGTAAGGTTTGCTTGGAGTTTGAACTGAACCCTTTGCATTGTTGTGAGAGCTTACCATTAGAAGAAGAATAAAGGTTAGCAGTAAAAAGGTCAAGAAAATGAACATCTGACAGCATCTAAAGATCTGCAAGGGACCTCATAAATATATAGCAAACATCCTCCCTGATGGATTCCCCAGAAGAGAAGAATTCTACATCACCCACAAAGCACATTTTTTACAATCTGTTTATTTCTGTCTGGATACAAAGGACTGAAGCAGAGTGTTTAACATATGAGTTGTAAAATTCAAAGTTTAAAGCTTAGGAAAACAACCAAGATTAGAGCTGTTCAACAAAATCGTATCTCCCTTCACAAAGTGTCTTTTTATTCTTACAATTTGTCAATAAACCAACAAATGAGACTCTCAGCTGTCAATACTGTTAGGTGCCATGGCTTTAGGTACACAAAAAGAAATTAAACAGCATGGGTTTGAGTTATACCAACACCACAAGCAACTACTGTGGGTTTTCCCACACGATGCATTGGTGAGGGCTTAGGTAATTTGCTGTCATTTCATTCTCTAGTGCCCTAAACTTTGAAGAATCCAATAAGGTCTGGCAATTTTGGTTGGGTCATGTCCCTTCTCCATGGGCCATGTGTGACCAAGAGCAACTTCTCATGAAGAACTTAGCAGAAACTTGAACATGCCCCACCAAAAATCCCCTGGGAAGCAGGGCTTATTGGCACATCCCTACCTTCAAGCAAGCAGGGAGCAGAGGTGCATCTTGGGGTTATTCAGCTCCAGGAAAAAATGGTCTCTTCTAAGACTTTGAAAGCAAAATTACAGAGGATACAAGTGGTAGACACAAAAGGGGAAGACAGAGAAACATGTACCAAAGAACACACAGAGACAGAATGGGAACAGTATCCTGTCAGAACAGCATTTACACACAGAGGATACAGGTGTACAGGGTTCTGTTTCTCCTCATGGCATTCAGCCCTGGGTGGTGAAACAGCTGATGCTCTAGGCTGTAGTGGTCCATCCTTTTTCCAGCTGGTCAGATACCAGCTGAGGGACCTCGGTAAGCACCACATAGCTCTGGCAGCAGGGACTTGCAAGTCAAGTTGATGCCTGGACAAAAATGCTTGAAGTGGCCTTTAGCTGCTGAAAATTCTACTGCCCTGTCCTCTACCCCTTGTCATCTCTTAGATCACAGTAGAAAAGGAAATGAGCAAAACAAAGCTACCTGGTCATGAACTAACTCTTGAGGTCCATCACGTTGAGTTTCTGTTCTGGAGCTGAAGTGAGAATATTTGACAAAAGGAAAAAAACCCCACTTCTAAGAGAAACCACATAAAGCAGCTAGAGAAAAAGAAGTGACAACAGACAAGCTCTGCAGTCAAGAAAAGGGTAAAATCTTTCCTCTACTGAAGTCATTGGGATGTTTGCCAGAAAGCTGTAGACAGCGTGTTTTATCCAGGACTTTTAATTAGTTATTAAATTATTCAATGGCAAGTTGGCTGGTTTAAGGCACAAAAAAAAAAAAAAAAAATCATAGAATAGCTCCAGCATGCTTCTCCCTGCCCTGTCTACCCCTTGGGAGGTTCAGATCATGCACAGCTTTTTTTATGGGAGACTTGACAGGTATTTCATTGAACCTTAGTTGAAATCAGTAGGTTCCCAGGCCCTGCCTCCTTCCCAAGTTTGGGGATGAAGATAGGAAACACCTGCTAATGACACCAGAGACACAGCAAACATCAAAGTCATGTGTCAGCAGAAAGGACCCTGGAAACCTGGCCCCTACAGCACTGACACAGCCTGTCTGGTGGGGGACAGTGCACATGAAGAAATAGGATGCTGTGTTCATTTAACTGACGTACATTTGAAAGGATTTGAATTATTCTTGAATGACATAGCCACAAATAAATACAGCAGCTCACTGCCTTCAGTGAAGAGCCCCACAACCTGAGCAATCTATTCCCACCGCACACTTCTGCTCTGCCTCATTTTTCTGCTTCCCTCAGTCTCCTTCTGCCTTTCCCCCCACAAAGTACACCGGTTTCTATGGGAACAAAACACATCATCGGCATGGACAGAGCTGGGTGACGTCCTCACGTGCAGACCCAAAACAGGGCTGAAATCAGCGTTTTGCAGTTTCTGCCACGAGCTGGGGAAGGCGACGGGCGCTGGCCCCACACGTGTGCGCACACGTGCGAGAGCGCTGTCCCCTTGTCACACGAGGCACACATGCACAGCCACCGGCTCCCCGGGACAGCAGAAGGCTCGGCAGAACTCCTTCCATCCCATTCTGCCTTAATATAGCTGAAAATTGCTTTGACAGCTGAATAGCTTCTTTGTTTATAACTCGTTCTTAGCTGACTCTGCTGCATTATGGAGCTTTGTAAAGAGATTACTTTGTCAAAAAATGAACATATATGGTCTAGGCATGAACAATTTAGTGTGATGGACTGCATTCATTTTATGCGATGTGCAATCTGCACATCTGCTGCCTGTACTGGTTATGCCTTTCTCCGTGGGTTTCATTTTCTGATCTCAAGTGTTTTATGAATTTTCTTGGGGTCTTTGGGATTATCTGTTATCTTCTTTACTCTCTCCTGGGCACATGCAGAGAATTTACATTATGTCAAATC